TCACTCTTTTTTTTTACACACACACACACACACAGGCCAAAAATACAATCATGCAGATGTAGGGCTTATGGACATGCAATGCCATGATGCTAGCATAGCTCAGACGAGCAGAATGGTTGCAAGAGACGTTATGTGTTTAGGTACACTGAACTCCAAACATATTAAGTAGTATCTGCATGTTAAATCGGAGCCACCTTTATATTATTATTACACTCGGAGCTACTTCAGGTCAAACCTATTAACAAAGTCTACACATTTAGTGTGCTTGTAACTGTTCTTCATGGGTCACCAAAGGGAAGCAAGAAGACACACACCTCCTGTGTGTGTGCGTGTGTGTCTGTGTGTGTGTGTGTGTGTGTGTGTGTGTATGTGTGTCAGCATACACATCTATCACTACATGCACACTTTGAGTGGACAGCATAGATCCACTCTGGCAGGGGGAGGGGGTAAATGGCAGGCTGCAGGGAAGGAAATTAAGGAATGTTTGGTGCAGTAGGACACATTAAATACAGACACACTACCTCTAACTTCTATTAAAGGGGAACTCCACCAATTTTTCAGATCAAAGTCTGTTTACAGGTCTTAGGGAGTACAACTACCCTAGATGGTTTGTTACACCGAACCACCTGGGAAGTTGTTTCTGAATACTGTTTGGAAAAGGTCAGGCCAGGCTATTAACAGTGTCGTGTGTCTGTGTTTAGTTTGGCGCATATCTGATCCACCAGGTTAGATCAGCACTTATTTTAATGATCTTAATTACCGACATGATTAGCCTTCCATTCCCATCATATTCTCCCACTAAGTGTAGCTAACCAATGGAGGCTGCCGAGTTGAGGCGACAAAATGTAAAGTTTGTATGGAAATATGGTTTAGCTTCATGGATTATTTAAACCCGAATTGACAAGAATACTGCCAACATATGACCCCCTTTATCAGACACAGGAATTGTTAATATGTCATATTTGTTAAAGGACTTGAACTTAAACTTTAATTTCTTAAATTTATTAACCTGCTGTGTATATGTTTTAACATTCTGTCACAGAAACATTAAAGTATAATGAGATTAAATGACATTGACTGCTATTAGTTATTGGTTTAATTAATGGTTTATTAATGTGTGTTTATTTTTGACTGACGGTGGCTGATCAAGCTAATTATAATCTAATTGAACTCGGTTTCTAATGTATACTGCAGGTAATGGCGGACCTTTGTTTGTGTTTATGTAATTCACTCCTGTACAGAACGCAATGAAAAACTGATATTATTATATATAATAGTGCAATAAACTGAGCTATGTTGTAAAAAAGCTTCCATAATCTTGCACCCCAACTTTTGTGTCCATGTGTCCATGTGTCCATGATTCCTATCACATTGTTTATATAGAGCTAATGCAAAGTTCACCACAGGCTTGGGCAGATATGCGTCCCAAACTACATTACCCCTACAGAACCAGCAGAAAGACAACTTAGTCAAGTCTGGACTTTGAGATGAGATCATTTCCATGATTTAAGTCATACTTAAGTCGATTTTATAAATGAGGCCCCTGGCCCGACCACAGAGACCCGTTTAGTGAAGTCGACTGCCTGTTGAATCAAATGTTTGTCCAGCTGGACCAGGATCAACTGTTCTTCTTTCTCTGCCCTACATTGCCTCCCTCTCTAAATAAAGTACAAAAATAATAAACATCAGTGTACTGCTGACTCAACAAAAACCAAAATGTACAATGAGTTTTCTGATGTCCTGTCCTCTTCTTTCCAAACTCATATCTATACATCAGCACCCAGCCCTATCCTATTTGGACAATGCATTTTATTGGTCATGGAACTTAAAGTTTGATGCCATAGCAAGCAAAGCAAAGTGCATCAAAAATTGAAGGAAAGGAGAAGCAGCGTGACACTTACACAACACCCAACTGGAGGCCGGAGATTAAGACATAGTTCGCCGCCATGCTAAAAAGGTTTGCTGCTGCTGCTGTGTACATCTGAGGCAGAATGATCCCCTGAAAACACATGGAATCCATAATAAGCTATCCAGTCTGTAGAGCTAATATTTAAACTGCACTAATATTATTTGGACATGTTCTACACAAACAAAACAAATTCAAAACAAATTTATTGAGACATTTCACTCAATATAACAAATGTGAACCTCATGGTGGCGGTAGAGCTAGAGCTAGAACTAGAAGTCAGATACGAACCATGAATGTCAGGTATAATATTTTGTGCCAATAGCCACTAGCATGGTTAAAAGAAAAGCAAAAGAATCACCCCATGTCTTCATAATTTCGAGGAATTTTATTTACAACAACGGTGATAAAACGTCTGACACTGCTTCTGATGTAAATACAATTCATCCAATGTTGGTCATTTTTAAGGCAGGGCAACTGAAATTCAGTGCAAGAGAAGTGTGTTCATGTTTTCTCTTACAAAACTCGTTTTATGCCTCATTGCTTCCAATTCTGGGGCACCAAAACTTTCTTAGTTTTTGCATTTCTTCATTTTTTTTAAAAAAAGTCTAGGTACTAGGGTTCTAAATCTTTAGCTCAAGTATCTGCAGAATATTGCATGATACACTTACTAGACTAAGAGTAAACTTTTTTTACGGTATTTCAGTTCAGTGCACTCACTGGAACAGCTGGTAGAAACGCCATCATGTAGAGGTAGGCAATTCTGATGGGGAGGTAAGCAAAGTATTATGTATGTATTTTTCACAATACGTTCTGCTTTGTCTCCTCAGTTCCTCAAAATAAAATTAATAAAATGACCGGAATCTAACTATAATATGCTACATATAGATGCAATCATGCATTGAGGTGTCTAAAGCATGATATACATTTAAGTGTAGGGAAGCTATGCACTTATATGCATGTTGTAGGGAAGCTATGCACTTACATGCATGTTGTAGGTTTATACAAATGCCAACATACATATAAAGTTAAACATAAAGCCTCATAAAATGTCTCTATACACACTTACTTGGAATAATATAATACATAGATAATATAAATGTTAGTAATACTGGTAAAAATAACAACAATGGCACTCAAAATCAAGTTGAAGTAGTAAGAAGTAAGGTCTTCCTAAAAACCTGTGAACAGTTTGTCTTAAACTGAGCATCAACTTTTTGTGCACACTGACACATATATATGCAAGGTATTAATGTATCTATTTGATTCACTTAATTTTACCTTGCCAACTCATCCTCTTGGTGCAAGATGAGCAGTAAGTTGTAAGAGTTGATGAGAAGACCCCAACAGGGCAGACAAAACAGCAGCAGGATCAATGAACTCCTTTTGAGAATTACTCCCACACGTTTCAAGTTCTTACTGCCGAATGTCTGGAAAACACAAATGAGAACTGAATCTACTGTGTAAATAATACGCAATATTTCTGCAAATATGATGGGGGAAAAAACATCCAGTAAGTAATTTTACTGAGAAACTTTGTCAAAATGCTGACTTAGTATCAAAATAATAAATGATCTCAATGTAATGAGAAGCAATATCTCCATCCACCCATCCATCCATTATGTATCCGCATATCTCAAAATAATGAAAAAACCCTGTCAAAATAATCACCTAGTATCTCCAAATAATGACTTAGTATCTGAAAATAATGACATAGTATCGCAAAATAATGATAAGACTCATGTTTCTAACTAAATAGGCCTACTTATCACAGACGTGCTGCAATAATGGATTAATGCTTAAAATAATTTAGTTCAATTAAACAGTGTCCAACCACAAAAAATAATAAAATCAGTCTGAATTGATCTATAAATAAATGTATGGGTGCTTCTTACAGTATCTGCTGTCCACAGCTGCTTTATACCATACAAAAACCTTCTCCTTCAGTTCATACAATCCCTGCAGCATCTGAAAGCAGCAGAGCTGATATGTTGATAAATTTGTAGCCTCAGAGAAGTGCCGTAATTATTTTGAATTACTAAGTCCATTATTATTTTGAGTAAGTTTATCATGATTTATACTAAGTCATTATTTTTGTGATATCTTGCAGGACCATTTTTTCACATCACGTTGGTGGAAATGGGCTTGCATGCAGAGAAAAAAGGCAAAAATAATGTGGTTTGCTCACCTGAGAAATGAGTGTGTCAAAAGCTACAGAAAGGCCATGTTGCAGATGTGGTCACGTCAATGGTCTGACAGATGGAGAATCAAGAAAATCTGAGACAAAAGTTGCAATTTAGACTTCAGTTATATTACTTTTCAAATGTCTTTTACTCATGAATGTCTTTTAATCACTTATTTTATATCCATAACTCACAGTAATATGTAATATTACATATAATAATAATCATATGTAATTAATGTGATCTATAGATCTATCAGGTGTTTCAGCAACTAATGTGAATGTGCTTCCATAGTTCCAGGAAACTATTCGATATAAAAGGACCAAACAGAGCTGATTCCAAGAAAAACAAAGTAGCAGGCACTGTGTTCACACATGTCAACACTGCAGGCCAGGTGCAGCAAGGGTGAAAAAGCCCATGGTTGAGCAATAGGTAGTCTTTATGGAGCACAGCAACTCCATTTAAAATATGAGTGTGGAGAAAATGCTTCAACAAAGCCTGCTGTGTCTCTTGAAAAGTCTCGGACAGCGCAATACGTCGTTTGCAGTCCTGTGATTCTGAAATTCAGAATAAGGTAATAAGTGAAAGGCAGAATGGATGAGATGGAAATATGAACGCATGCACTGTATAATTATTGTACACTCATTGTGTCGTGCGATGTGTGTGTGTAATCTGAAAATGTTGTCCTAATTACCACATCAGCTCTTCCATTATGACCAAAAACGTGTTTGTAAGTGGAATTTTGAGGTCACAGTGACCTTTTACGTTTGAGTCAAAAGTGTCACTAATTCACTGTCAAACCAACTGACCCTTCCTAAGTCCTGCCCCTGTTTGCTCTGTGCTCCAATAACAGTTGAGCGAGCCTCGGCCAACTTTATCCTTTCCTATAGTCTACTTAGATATGTGCAGTGTTTCCCGTTAATTATCTAGATTATGGTGGCCCGTGGAGCAAGTAGGTGTGTGTGGAAAAGAGTAATGTGACTGAAGGAAAAAGCAAGGTGATTAAAGTAGTTACAGAGTTAAGTAAGTGAAATAAGTAATATATAATAAATAAGTCCCATCCAAGCCCCTCGTCCACACTTAACCTGTCATCCTGTGGGAACACAGAAAATACTTTTGCTCAGCTGTTATTGGAGCACAGAGCAAAAAGGGGCAGGACTTAGGAAGGGTCGATTGTAAAAAAAAAAAAAAAAAAAGCAATCAATTCTTAAATTATGCCCAAAAACATGGTGTTGTAACCTTGACTTATGGCCACCAAAATCTAATCTCTACAAGAAACCCCTGCAACGGGTCCTGCACTCAGCGATGGGGGTGCAGGTTCGTGTGAACCCATCTTCTCCATTCAAACACAGAAAAATAAAACAGATGGGAGAGATGGGAAAAAAAAGCTTAGGGGCAAAGGGACGAGGGAGGGAGGAAGGAGGGAAAGGCTTCTTGGGTGGGTGGATGGGGCTGTCAGTCTGTTTGGGTTCTGAAATACAACACATGGATACAGGAGTCAAAGCAGGGTTGATGGAGGATTTTTGGTAGGGAAGGAAGGGGTACAGTTTGCAATCCAGTATTTGTATTGTATGCCAAGTTTGTGTGTGCACACATGCACTTGCCATTGATCTTATCTGCCTCTGAGTGTACTTTGACCACTGATTTTATCCCCCAGGCCCCACCTCCTCATTTACTTGTCACATAAACAAACATAGTCACACATGCATGCAAACCTGCGTGCATCAGTCTTTTTCCTGACAGAGCATTTATCAGCAGAGTCTACAGGTATCTTCAATGAACCTGTAGTCTGCTGCACCCCTTTGTCCACAAACCTATGTGTTGAACACCAAGTGGACGACAGCCAAGTACAGACATTCAGCTGGGGCATGGACCACAACTTCCTCCCTCCTTCTGGTTCTCCAGCAGAGTACCGGGGGTTGAAGGATAGGCAACACAGAGCCCTTCCTGGAGCATGCTGGAGCCTGCTGGAGGCTGGATACAGTATTTGATTAAAAAAATATGTATTTGGTTCATTATGAAACTGTGGCAGAACTGTGTTGGCTTAATTTGTCAGCCACGGAGGTTGCTGCTTGGGTGTGATATGTCTACTGCCCTCTACTTGAAAAAAACCCCAATGTTCAGAGTGTATTCAAATCTATTTTATTGTCTGCCAATGCCTATTACTTATAGCCTACAATTGGCTCCTTTTTCTTCAAATCACATATGAGGAGAAATCCACCAAAAACAAACTCTATAGTCTATTAGCCTTTTAGTACAAACTGTTTATTGCCTCAAACATGAAACTTACTTCGTGTTCGAAATTATAATTTGTTGGTCTCATTAACTACCTGCAGCTGAAGAAACCCTTCTCAGTTAGTCAATGTCTCTCTCTAGTGGGAAGGAGAGGGAAGAGCATAGTGTCCAGACCCCTGTGCTCTCCCTTTATATGCATTGTTTTTTTGTGTATTTGTTTGTGTGTTGTCCTTTAATTTGTTAATTATCTTGTAAATGTGTCAAAATACCATTGGATTAATTCTCATAGAAATATGAAGAGGCTGAGTCAATTATGATGAACTTTATAAAAAGTTTCATGAAACTGGAATACTGCATATCAGTTACTTTAACATGTCTTAAATGATAATCTGGTAAGTGTGACCTAATTCCAAAAAGTCATAGTGGCTTGATCATTTGTTAATTCATCAAACTTGTGCTGTTATGATCTTTAATAATCCATCATATTTTGTAAAATAATCTTCTTCTAAATGCCTAATATGCAAATAAATGTAGTATAAAACGGGGGTATTTTTAGGAGTACCTGAAGGAGAGATGGACATGTTTACTGGTGTTTAGCTCATGACAAAGATGCAATTAAACACACATTACATTGGTCTCTGCTTACTGTCAGTCATCTGACATTAAAGGAAGAAAGGGAAGAGTGCACAAGGAAATAATCCCCCACACCTCATTGCCACATCCATGGCTTGAAAACAGCTTGAACACTCTCTTCTAACACGTAGGGAATAAACATAGTGTGAATTTGATGTTAAAATACAATGAAATAAAAATATAATACAATATTTATATACAAAAAAAACACATTTAAATTTTTTTTAGTTTTAAAACAAATTGTTGGCTTCCACAGTGACTGGCTTCATCAATAAATGTATAGGCCTACACTGTCAAATAGATTAGCAAATTGCATTATCATCAGCCTCACAGGCTTCAGAACTCTTTAACTATTAAAAGGAAATATGAAAAGAATCTATAAAATGTGTATTTTAATCCTTGCATCCACACCCAAGATGTTTTAGTGCCATTGTAATGACTGTAGCCAATAAAAGGTTTCTTGTGTTTGCACATTATAAGTACGCAACAATAAAAAAGTTAAAAAAAAAGGGTGGGAGGAGGAAAGGGTGTTGAACGATGAACGAGAACGATGAGGAACTCATTTAGAAACAGTGAGAGGAGTTATAAAAGTGTCCTCATCTGCATGTGAAGCATATAAGAGCCACTGAATATTTGAGAAGTCTTCCACATTCTCATATTCACATAGGGAACATCATTAAGAAAGCACAGACAAGGAATACGAAGAAATAATAATCACCAGGTAAGTACCTCTCATCTCAGGATGCAAAACTTGTTTGAGTACACAACTGTGTGAGCTATCATACATTTGATTAAGTACATTTTAATTTTTTAAGTGTATTTCATAAGAATAATTTATATGAGTATTGGTTGATGGTTGTGTTTTACTGAAGAAATAGTAACTTTATTAATTGTAAGTAAACTGCAATCCCATATTAGTCTATTATTGACTACTATTGTCAAGTACAGACTGACCCTTTGAAGGAAAAACGGTTAGGTTATGGTTTATATAGCGCTTTTATCCAAAGGGATGACTTTACAGGAGATCTAACAGGCAGGTTTTAGATGAATCTTCTAAAACAGAGAACAGTAAATAGTTTTCTTGCTTGGACACAATATTTTAGTTACTTTTTTGATAGATAGATAGATAGA